GAATTGCTCTAAAATTTCACTTAAACGTTGAAAATCAAATCTAATATCCATACAAAATAATTTCACTTCAAATCCAATTGAAAAATTTCTAAAGATCTTAAAAATATTCATTGACCCTTAAACTCTAATTTTTGAGATCTCAACCCATAAAAACCTTTACATACTTTGAACTAACCATTCAATTGAATTCAAAATTTATACATGCATTCACAACTAGCACATCAATACATTGTCCAAAATTCACTAATATATATATATATATATATATATATATATATATATATATATATAATACAAAATTCAAAAAACCATCAAATTTGTAAATATATTCTTATTTTTTAAATTCTAAACTAATAAAAAATATCACTAATTTTTGAAAATCTCTCAAAAATTCAATATTAATTTAATTAACATAAAACCAATACTCAAAAATATCTTCTCAAGTCTACTTTCAAATACTACTCTTTGATTTATCAAAGAATCTCAAAATTACTATATGAATATGGTTTTATGTCTTGAGGTTTCATTTTGATCTAGATTGACAATTGGTCCTCTTGGAGTATCAATTTTTGATAATTTGAAGTAATTTTTACTTTATTCTATTATTAATTTTTTTTTCAATAAGATTATATTAATTTCTTACTTCATTCATTTTAATTTGGCTCATTTATGCTTCTACATAGTAAATAAAAGTTGCTTCTATAAAAAAAAAATATTAAGACTAAATCTTTTACTACCTTTCTATCTTTTATCTTTATTTTTTTTTTGCTAGGCTCTTCTATAATAACATCCATATTTTTATTTTTTACTATATAGTCATGTTACCACATAACATCATAATAGTCTTAGACTAGATATCCAAACTTTTGATAAGTGTAATATTAGAAGATTGAGGATTTTATTATGATGAATTTGGTGGCAAGTGTCATATACTTCAATCACCCACTTTTTATGGATCTGCCTTAACAAATACCTTTTCTTCCTCTAAAACTTCTTCTCATGAATATGACCTTTTCTTTATCTTCTTTATTTTTCTTTATGGTTTTGCTTACATCTTCTTTTAAGAATAGGCCTTTTAATTTTCTATAAGTAGATAGATTTGTTCTTTCTTCTACATTGTTTTGAAGATTGTCCAATTTCTAGATAAGTTATTGAGTATTAAGCTAACTAAGTCTTTATTCATCATTGCTACTTTAGTCTCACAAGTTGGATCTTTAATAGGTTGATCTTTTGAATATGATCTGCTATTCTTTTTTCTTTAGGTAGTTGCATTAAAAAAAGCCTTTTTTTTGAGGATTAGTCTTTTTAAAGAAATTTATATATCATAAATGTATTTTAATCTCAATCAAATTTTATCCATATCTATTATTAATACATTGCTAAATATGATATCATCTTGAAGTATAGAGATGATGATTTTTTTGTTAGATATATATATATATATATATATATATATATTTATTTATTCAAGTAGGAGAATCTACTGGTTGGTGGTCATGGCAACTTCTCATGTGCTTTCTATTCTTGTTTCGTTAAAATCAACATCTTTTGTAACTTCTTTATATTAACTACATATTGCCTCAGCTAATCAATTAATGTCTAATAAATGTCACAAAATCACTAAAAATAATTGATTAAAGTTTTTAGCTATTTTATCTATTTGACAATGATTTTTGTATACTATTTTCAATCAATTGCTATTGCATGATTTTACAAAATGATTTTATAGTTACATACGGTGTAATTTTAATAAAGTATAAATTTATTACTATTATTATTATTATTATTATTTTATAAATATTGGTTTATGCTGATAAAATCTTAAAATATACTTTTATTACTAAATTTATTTATAAATTTATACGTAAAAAATATTATATAAATCAATATTCAATATAAGAAATACTACTCTATATTATTTCTAAAATTTTAATTAGGATTAAAAAACTATTTCAATAAATTATTCTAAAGAATCTTGTTGATTTTTATAGTTAGATTGGATTTGTGTTAAAAATCCAACTTACAAGATTGAAGTAGTTCAAAAAATAGTTTGGACATAAATAAGATTTTAAACTAATAACATAATTATTGCATATTTTTTTCATAAAATAATACACTTTCTTAAATAATTCTTATAATGGTTATTTTAATCTATTGAAATATTAATCATTAAATTAAATAAATAAATAACTCATTAATTATTATCTTTATTAAATATAAATATAGAAGTTTTTTGACTATTTTAAATTATGGCCAAATTACATTTATTTAAAAATAAGATTTCAATTGTATGACTAGTACAAAAGTATATTTTGTAGAGGAGCCCAGAACAAATCAAGACATAAAAGAAATAAAAAATGAACATCCAAATAAACTTCTATTAATTACAATTATTTTAAAATTTTAAAATTCATAGTAGTAAGAATAAAAAAAATATTAGAAATAAATAATAAATTAAAGATGGTTGGAATAATACAATATTATTATTCATACAAGTAAGATTTAAGTTATTAATAAATTATAGACATTTAAAAATATTGTATATAATTTGAATAAAATCAATTAGCTAATTAGAATTATAAAAGATGATCAAAAATTAGAAGCTAAATGTTTTCAAGACAAGTCAATCTTTGTGTATTACATAAGATGATTTCAAGGCAAAATGGTACAAAATAGACTATTAAGAGGGAATAAAAACTTTCTAATATATATATTATTATATTTAAATTAAAAAATTAAAATAATCAAAATCCATTTTTTATTATTTTATCTCTTTATAATCATATATGTTTTAATAAACATAATAAATTCTTTTGTAAACGTAATTATTTTACAACATCAACACATACATACAACCTAATACTAAGAAAAAACTAAAGAAGACTAATAACTTCCAATTATCTTTAATCACCTTGATTTTTTTACAAAAAAATAAAAATAAACTTTCTTTAGTAAATTTTTTTCTTAAGATAAGATATTATATTTTTTTTAAAGCTTAGTATTTTTTGTCAAATCTTAATTTGTGAAGAAATATATATATATATATATATATATAAAAATAATAAAATAAATAAAAACCTAACTTGTACTAAATTGGTACTTTTCATATACACATGGTTGTGAGAACAAACTACAAGATTAACACTAGATTCTATACCAGAATTGGTATGTTAGAACCATAAGATTAACATTTCAATTCTCCAATCTACCACTCATCACTCAAAAGATCAAAAATCCAATTTTCAAACATGCAACTCCGGTTCACAACTTATTTAGTCAAGCCTTAAGAGAAACACCATTGTTCTCCTTTTCTTTTAGTCACTACAGCACTTGCAATTGGCTGGTTACATGATCATGTGATTTATAGCAACTTGTGCGGTATATGGTTTAGCAATCATTTATTGGCAATAGATTGCTGAGCACCAATGTCTACATGCCTCTAACAATGAAGAAATTCAAATTTTCAATTATAGAAAAAAAAAGATTAAGTTAGTGCGGTGGTTATGATATATATCAAGTTGTCATTTTGGTCAAAGTAATAAACTTATTTTTTTACAAAAAATAGATTAAAAAAAAAAAAAAAAAAAAAAAAAAAAACAGTGTTTGAAATTGCTTGTTTTCATTGTTTTTTTTGTTCCTGTCAATACACCAGAAGCTTAAAAAACACAAACAATGAGGATCTCATCCACAAGAAGAGAGAATGTTAGTTTTGATTACAATGGCAAAGAATATCCTTAAGATAGATGATACATAAAAATTACCTCTAAAAACCAAATCTTATTTGTGTTGAATAGAAAATAGGAAGATAGATAGATGTAAATTGTATTATGGTTTTTTTGCTTTTGCCGAAGAGGTATTTTAACTTAAAATGCTTTTCTTATTTATTTTTTATTCTTAATTTATATAAAATTTGATATGTAGAATTTTTCTTTATTTCAATATAAAAATATAATAAAAAAACATATTATAGTTAGTATGTAAAATAAAAATACTAATTAATTAGTTAATTGATTTTAGATTCTAAAAATTATGAAAAATTAAAATTAAAATTAAAAAAATTAATCTTTTTAAAGAAAAAGTTTAATTTTTTTTCCTTTTTATAAAAAGAAACATGATATTTTTGTTATAATAAATTCTTATTGCCAACACAATAATACAATGATATACTTCTTATAAAATGATTAAATTATATGTATTGATTTATTTTTTTGCATTGCACAGAAAAAAATATTCATATAAAAACTATATATATATATATATATATATATGCGTATGTATATTTATATAAAATTACCAATAACATGAAGACACATTACTTTTAGTGTATTCATATTAATCAGTTGTAGCACACAAAGAAGTTTGTTGATTGGTGCTTGTAGTTTAATGTTCAACTTAACACTTCTCACCTTACAATTAATTCAGTACATATATATAGATAAATGTTTATATATATATATATATATATATGGGGGGAGAGAGAGAGTGTTACTAATGCCAATAGAGTTTTTGCTACCACCAGCACAACATATTCTTACTGTCTTTTTAATTATTTTATTATCAAATTTAAATTTATCTTTATATAATGGAAAAAATAAAAACTAAACATATCAGAAATACAACTTTTTTTTTTTTTTTTTTTTTTTTTTTTTTTGTAAGAATAAAACAACTAGTAAAATATATTGAATGAATGGTGGATTGTAGTAACAAATCTTGTGGTTACATTAGCAATATCCTCTATCCACCTATTCTTTCTTTATTGAATACATATATATATATATATATATATATAATCAATCAACTTGACTGCGCAAAACCTTTCTTTTTTCACCACTTGGAAATAACAACACCGCCATGAGAGCATTCTCACATGCCAAGGCGGTCATCGCCAGTGGTCAGTAGTGGCGTCTCAATCCCAGTGAAGCCGGGCAGGGGTGCGACCGTGCGCTGTGTGAACGAGAGTGTGGACTTTCGGGGGTCTCAAAAAGAAATTGACGGAGAAAAAAGTCGTGTTTGGTATCGTCACAGCTTTTGTGCCTGCATTATGGTTCAGTCAGATTCTGCGCCATTCGAATGTTAGCGAGATGATGTATTGTCTTTCGAGAGCAGTCGAATAAGTCGAAGAAAACGCACGTAATTCCATGATACGCAGGGTTTTTATTGGGAATGTTCTCCAGGTAGCTTCAAAACCCTAAGCATTGGTTAGCTTCGTCGCGCATACCGTATGCAGTATTACAGAGTTTCGTGAGGATCGAAAGGACAATCAAACGGAGTTGGAGGAATAGGGAGCCGTGGCATCAGCAATGGCCATCGCTCTATGTCCGGCAGGCACAGCGAGAGCTATCCAACCGTACGTAGGTGGCTTTAAGTGTGCGAACCAGTTAGAGGCAGCAGTTTGCATCTCAAGTGCATTGATCCTTGAGAGGAGACAGGGAGCATTGGCCAACAGCTTTAAGAGGCGAGAATGTAGCACACTAGTTGTTCGAGGCCGCGGTTTACTTTATCCTACGATCACTGTCTTGAGGCGGGCCGCTGGTTGCGTGGGTCAGAAAGGTGTGCTCGCTGTCCAGGACGGATCTTCTCCTCATGTTGAGGAGGAAAGAGCCGAGCAAGCCTGGGATAATGCAGGCAGTCCTAACGCTCCAATCGTTCCCACGAGTGATTTAGTTAGCCTACAAATTCCAAGTAAGCACAGCTGAGATATATCTATCGAGCTGAATTAACCACTAGGATAGTCTAATGCGCTGTGTTATTCATTAGTACTGAAAAGGCACTTAATGCAGGTCCTTTGTAATGGGCCATTCTTCCAATTTCAGGCTTTAATCGTCAAACTCATGCTTATCGTCGCTTGTCGAGAGCTGAACGCAAAATAATTTACTTGCACGGAAGTTTATGGAGTTTTTCCTAGTCTTTATTTTTGGTTATTTTGTAGTGTGTGTGTGTGTGTGAGAGAGAGAGAGAGAGAGAGAGAGAGAGAGCGGGAGAGAGAGAGAGCGAGCAAGAAGATCTGTGTGTGTGCAAGACAGCAGCTATTGGCATTGATACTGTATTATGTTATGTTATCTTGTCATGAGTTGGTTGATTTTCAAGCTGGAAGCACGATTATGGAAGAATGAATTTACTTAAGTCATCCTGGTTCGTCATCATCTAACTCAAGTACTGGAGTTGGCCTGAACAGAGCCCTTGTCTATAACCGATTTAGCTTTGCCACCCAGACATGGGTCTGATGTGCGTGTAGCTTATCAGGTATTTCTTGAGGGCCACTCTCTGCAGAGCTTTAATACCTAGATTTTAGTTAGTTTTTTCAGTTTTAACTTTATTTCACAACTTTTCTCTCCGACATCCAGATTTTGTTGTATTTGATGGTTATTTGCATAAGTTGCTCCAGTCACCGGCAATTTGTTTGATCAATACACTGCTTTACTATCCAGGGTGTTCCCGGAGCCTACAGTGAAGCAGCAGCTGCCAAAGCTTACCCTAGGTGTGAAGCTGTTCCTTGTGACCAATTTGAAGCTGCTTTTCAGGTACAGCGTACGCTCTGCGCTTCTGGGAACAGATTGTTAGATTTGAAGTGGGTGCTGTTTTATTGTTGCAGTCGGATATCAAGGATGTCGCAATTTTGCAAATTTCATGCAATGTTGCTGCTAGTGTATATTTCTTCTCTCACAATGTTTGCAGAACTTCTAAGGATAAGCACTTTGACGTGATCTTTTTCTGCATAAAAATTAATAATCTTCTGTTTGTGACCTAAGTGATGAGCAAGTTATTGACAATGTTTGCTGTAAGCACAATGTCTCATTGCTTTCCAGTCCTTGTTCACCAATTTTTAACTTCTAGATTCCAGGCGGTGGAGCTTTGGTTGGTTGACAGAGCAGTTTTACCTATAGAGAATTCTCTAGGGGGAAGTATACACCGCAACTACGATTTATTGCTACGTCATCGACTCCACATAGTTGGTGAAGTTCAACTTGGAGTTCACCATTGCCTCTTAGGACTCCCAGGTGTGAAAAAAGAGGAATTGTTGCGGGTTGTCAGTCATCCGCAGGTACTTGGTGCTTTCTACAAAGATATCATGTCTGTCTTTTGTCTTTGCCATTATAAGTATTTTACATTGATATGATTAATCCAGATGGATTGCTTTTATAATTGTTGCCGACACATACTTTTCTAAATGATAGGTGCCTGCTCAAGGAAGCTGGGTCTACTGGTGATTCCTGAGTTTCACATCATGCTGATGCAGCAGTGACTGCCTGCGTAGCTGGAGGGCCTTTCTCTGGTTGTGGTCATGTTTGACTTGACGTGAGAAAAGATAATGTTTTGTGCTTGCATGAACATTGTAACTTACATCATCTAAATTTTAATTTTATTTGCAAATCGCAGGCTCTTGCTCAATGTGAGCACACACTGGTAAAGTTAGGTGTAGCTCGAGAAGCTGTGGATGATACTGCTGGAGCTGCACAGGTAACCTAGAATGTATACGCGTGGATTTTTCTTACATTGATCATTGCTGAATCATACTAAACAGTATGTACGGGGTTTGTCTCTTTTATCCTTCTTTATTGGTACACTGTTGTTTGATTTCAACATTCTTTACTCGAATTCTGTGAAGAAACTTCTCAATCTGTCCTTGTCATTTATTCCAACAGTTTGCTGGGTTAGACCTGCAGGAAAGAGTATTACACAGATTTTTTAAATTGTTTCAATTTCGATCTTCTTCGTTCCCCTATGTCTATCTATCTATCTATCTATCTATCTATCTATCTATCTATCTATCTATCTATCTATGGATGTTTACATACAGAAAACCTTGATGGCTACATGTTGATTAAGGTTGGTTGTGATTTTCATGCTGTAGTTTTTGTATCCTAATTGTGTATGTAGTTGTGATCTCTGGTATATATCAAGCAGGTTTTATGTACTCAATAAAGTATATCAATCAGCTTATTTGAAACTGCTTTCTGCAGTTTATTGCTGCCCATCAACTCCGGGATACAGGGGCTGTTGCCAGTGCACGAGCTGCAGAAATTTATGGACTTGAGATCCTAATGGATGGTATCCAGGTAAAACTCTGTCCATGTGGACTCTGAGCTTTGAAGCTGATTGGGATGTTGAATTTTAGGGCTATCCTTAATTTTGTTTATTGGCCAGTATGGGATGTAATGACTGATGGGTGTTGTTATGTAATGCTTCCTTCAATGAATAGAACGGGTGGCCCTAGATCAGAGATTAATGTCTTATGCACATTGGCTTTCTCATTATTGAGGGCATATAGCCGTGATGACCTAAATCAAGGAGCTCACGATGATAAAATTTGCAGGATGATCTGGATAATGTCACTAGGTTTTTAATGCTTGCCCGTGAACCTATCATTCCAAGGATTGATAGACCATTCAAGGTGGGTAGTTCTCCCCCTCCTTTCACAAAATCCTATCAAGTGTTTGGTGGTTTATCTGTGAGGATCCCTGCCAATGTATCCGAATGTGATAAAAAGTTACGTTGGTACGTGTCGGAAGTGATTACATTTTTGGGTTTGAGCTGTTTAATTGTTTTGTCCTCACATTCTTGATTTCTTTTTCTTATAAAATGTGTTACCGCACATGATATGGTAGTCTATTTCTTCAATTTCCTTGTCTTGGTGGTTTACTTTGGTTCAGACCAGTATTGTTTTCACACTGGAAGAAGGACCGGGTGTTCTGTTCAAGGCACTAGCTGTCTTTGCGCTGCGGAGTATCAATCTCACCAAGGTATCTTTCAGTTTACTAAGCTATGAAGGCTTGTGCTTTGGGTTCTTTGATCATGTTGAGCTTGTAGCTGAAATTCTTACGCTGAATTGACAGATTGAAAGTCGTCCTCAAAGAAAGCGACCCCTACGCGTGGTTGACGATAGCAATAATGGAACTGCCAAGTATAGTCACAGACTCCCAATAGCTTCGTGTACCGCATATACCCTCTTTAGAACTGTGACAAAGAATCGGTCGATTCATGATTTATTATTCTCATATATACTTTGCATGCACAGTATGTTTTCACGTTCAGCATCACCGGAATATTCACGAACCTTTCGGCGATGACGTAAACCCCTCATTGGATCCTGATAACATTAAGGATTGTTGTGCAGATATTTTGATTATCTTTTTTATGTGGATTTTGAGGCATCAATGGCTGATGTGCGAGCACAAAATGCGCTTGGGCATCTACAGGTACATAGAAAGGCAGATATATTGTAAAGCATTCCATCACAGTGGAGGTTATATTATTCCTCACAAAATGCCATACGTTCACTGTCTCAGAACTACTGTAATTGCAGTACGGTTTGTTTTGATTGTTCGTACCTAGCTTTTCAATGAGGTTCCAAGTTATTACAACGTTTTCTAGTCTTGAATCAGTGATCACTATTTCTGCCGTCTATTGAAGCTAACAGCACCATATTCTGTACATTCAGGAGTTTGCGACCTTTTTGAGAGTACTAGGCAGTTATCCCATGGAAGTTAGTCCAATGCGAGCTTGAGGCGACTACCTCAACCTGTAATCAGAAGTCGACCTCAGTGCTATTTGTAGTATCTATCTATATATATATTTGTGCGCATTGTTCAAACGTCATGTTTTAGGTTATGGATTGTTTTTAATGCAGTTTTTCACTCCTTGAAATGATGGGTATCCATATTACCGTACTTGCAGGGTAACTTAGATGTGTAGTAGAAGGACAATTCAAGATTGTTAATAGACAGGTTTAGTGGCTGGCTTTTATCACTTTAAACAGCTTAGATGGACTTCATGAATTACATCTAAAGCCAGCTTATGAATAACTGTGCCAAATAAATAATTTTTTGTCGGAGTAGGGCACTTTTTCATTTAATGGTTGCAGTCACGAAAATCATGCAACCGTAGGGAAGCTTCACTCTGCCGCTTAGCCAGTGTATCAAGTATGAAATCATCTTTCTCTTTTTCTTTTACCTAGGCATCCACTTGGCACTGGAGGAGTAATGGCCTTCTTTTCATGCCCTTGCAGAAGCGTCGTGGCTGGAAGTCTTCTGATAATAGTAATCTTGGAACGACTGGGGTTCGGTAACTAGTTTACCATGGATACTATTGCAAATCAACATGAGTTATCTAAGTTTTACAAATTTGTGGTGTGTACTCGTTTAGTAAATTTGTTTGTTTCTTCACTTCAAATCACATCTTGTCGGGAAAATTCTTTCTAGAAAAGAGCAGGTGAATAATTCGCATCACGTCTTCTAACAGCAAAGTTATCTACACACTCACCTCCTGCATGCATCAATTTTTTCGACAACAAAAGTATCTACACACCCACCTTATGAATGCTTCATATTTTTCAACAACAAAGTTATCACTTTATTGACAAAGGCAAGCACACGTTGAAATGCTTTTACATTGAAGGTGATTAGTGATCGATTTCCCTTCAGTCCGCACTAACTTCCATATCCTAAAGTAAAAGTTTAGAGTTGCGTACATTGACATCGTGTCAGTAGCTAATCCTCCTGTGGCTAATTTACATCAATGTTACGTTTCCTACGATCATCGTAGAAATGTTCAGAGACACCTTAGCATCAGCGTCTGGTCACAAACATCTTCACTCCATTCTCCATTGCTAGAGTTGCCATGGTGCGATACTTCACCTGGTGGCCTGGCATCAAATCAAATTTGAAGAATCGACACAACAGTGCAGTAACCATCTTCATTTGAAGATATGCTGAGTCTTTCCCTAGGCAGATCCGGGGGCCAGCCTATTGATTTCAAACATCACAAACAGCTGGTGGATTCAGTGGACCTTTACCGTCGAGGGATTAGATTTTGGAAGGAAGAATTCAACCAACGGTTCAGGTTGTGATAAGGGGAAAATCAAGGTAAGATTACTGAACCTGGAACGCACTGAATCTGAATGGCGACAAGGGGATGAACACTCCGTCCTTGATCCAGCGTTCGGGCCGAAAACTCTCGGCATCGTCACCCCAAATCACCTTCGCTCGGCCTTGAGCATATGGAACATAACTAACAAGCCCTCCTTTCTTCAGCACTGTCCCGTCCGGAAGAACATCATCAGCCAATATCCCTTTCGGATCCTGTACACTTGCCGCACAAGTTCATCAGTTTTCCAGCATGTGACGTGGCACAGTTATTTTTTTTCACCTCGGAACTTTTTTGAAACGATTTGTTACAACTTCTTGAGCCAGGATATTATAATGTACAAGTTAATTAGTGGTGAATAGTTACTTGAGGAACCGCTGGGTAGAGTCGGATGGTCTCGGTGATGGCAGCGTGGAGGTATTGCACCTTGGTGAGAACATCGTATGATAGAATGGATGAATATTCTCGCATCTTCTGGTTCAGAGTTTGGCTGGCATTTATGTTGGCATCTTTCTCCAGAGCATGAAGCTCGTCATAAATTTTGTCAGCGACGTGGGGATAAATACTCAACAGGTAAACAAACCAGGACAACGTTGCTGCCGTCGTATCCCTCCCTACAATCATCAAAGCATAATATCAATTCGAAGTTAGAGGTAATGTTACTCGCTGTATCATCAACTTCAAAACTACTCAATTCATGTAAACAGACACACAACTGCTTGAGATTTTTACTGAGATTTAAACTGATTTGTATACATGAGCTGCTAACAGCGAAAAGCTGCAGGCTCGTGATGCTTCTAGATTACTGGACTGTTTGACGCAATGTTAGCCGCTCACCAGCTATGATGAAATTTAGAATAACGTCTCGCAAAGTCTTGTCCGTGAAGTTCTGCTCAGGGTCCTTGCCCAATAAGATGAAACGAGACAAGAGATCTGCTTTCTGCATATTGAACGAGGTTTTTGGCAAATTCAATACCGGTACTAAATTTTACCAGACTTCGCGGTTTGAGATCATTCTAAACACATATTTCTGCAAGATAACAAACCTTGTCATGGCCCTCGGAGGTGGCCAAATCCATCTCGGCACGCCGAATTTTGATCACCTTGTACGTGAAGTCGTCCACCACCTTCACGCTACGTGACAACACCGCCTCATTGCCAATGTTGAACATCTGCTTCAGTGGCCAGAAGGGATCGAAGAACCGGTAAGTCACTGCTTCATTGGCGTTGTCGAAATTCGTCGCAAAGGGCACCGCTGGTAAAGACTCGGACAATGTTCCAATCTCGACGCCGAACCCCACTTTGCAGATGCCCTCCAAAGTAAACCTCATAAAAAGATCCTGCTCAGAACAGTCAATCAATCAATCAGTCATTCAATCACGGCCTTCAAAACTAAACATATCAACACGTTTAAAAGGTTCAGCTCTGATTTCTTACAGCTACGACACAAGTAGGAAAAATCTGTATGCTAGGGGGAACGTGATTTGGCGAACCTGCATGTCGATGGGTTGATGCTTCTGACACACCGATGAGAGAATATCCCCAACTTTGAGCGCATTCTCCCGGAAAACCACAGTGCTGTAGTCGCGGAGAACCCTAGACGTAAACTCGAAGCTCGCCGTCTTCCTCTGCTGGCGCCACGCTTCCCCATCGCTATTGAAGATCCCGTCACCTAGAAGCGTCTCCATGTGTCTGTGGTACAACTCCCCCTGCACATGAGGATCCATAGATTGCGTGTAGACTTTAGGTGCGAGTCTGAGATCAAGTTATCCGTCGTTTTCCTCAGCCTGGCGGATACCCCAAGACGTAATGTTTTTGAATTTTACCTTGGGGAAGTTTGCGAAGTTAGTCTTCAGGATGTACTCGATATTGTTGGGGTCGATAGTGTAAGTGTACGTGATCCCGGGGTACTTGACATGAAATGTTTTGAGCCCTTTGTTGAAATACGACAGAATCCAGTCGTGCATGACGTCGAAGTGCTGAATTGTCTCCAGTGCTCCACCAATGATGGGCCATTCCTTAGGCTCTATCCGGTGCCGCTGCCGCCATCGAAATATCCACAGATATGACAACGTGGCTATGATCACAAACGCGACTACTGATCCAGAACTGAAGGACGCTCTCATGACTTCCTCCATGCCTGTCAAAAAATTGACAATCTGTCTGTGGTCAGGTAGTACGCATCGTTTTCGCAAGCCTAAATCTCGAACCAGATATCATCTAGTAAGTAGATTGAAAAATTCCCTGCATCTACAGGTAAGCAATCTAGTATTCTCCGAGGAGGTTTTAACACTCATTAAAAACACACACGTACACACACACACAAATAATAGAAGCGTGGTCGTCAGGGGATTGCATCAAGGGTTTATGAGGATCGGGATCATTGGTTTTACATCGGTATCATGACTCAGGCGAACTAGACGAATACCATGGGGATTTAAGTTCTTCCCCTTCACTGCAGCTCTGGATGACCCGAACATGCTGAAGACGAGGTTTTTTCAACAATCGACTATTGCATACCACAACATCGTATCCCCTGACGACCACGCTTCTACTATTGTGGGATCATACCTTTCGTGCACGAATGCCACAAGTTTAAATCGCCCACTGCTGATCATGTGGTGCTAGATGATATCCAGAGACTGTAAGTGCCGAAAAGTCACAACAGATATAGGTTCCACGTATCATACGCGACAGAACTGCAAGACAGTGGTGATGTGGGTGTTCTCCGCGATGATTCTCAGACCTATGTGCACACATTGACATCTCGTATCTGTAGCTATATGTATCCATGCACACCCTATGACTTGTATTGCCAGGAGTCTGCCACATGCATGAAATGCACTATCAAGTACTTTTTAGAAGAACGTCGTATTCTCATACTTGTGACCCAAACAGAATACACGATATAATTGCCGAACTCTTTCCTCAACCTCCCAGCTACTGCAGTCACTTTGTTTTAAATTTAATCGATTCCACCTCAGGAATGTCTTCTCAAAGGATTCAATTGTAAAGTTCTCAACGGTTAGAAAGTTGCCGAGGTGGGTGGAAAAGTTGACGCACAGTTTCCAGGTCCCTCCGACAGGGACCGCTCTGACCCATCAAATGAGGAGAGGGGAAAGGAGGGGTGTCTACTAGTCTTTTCTTTGCTTTTGTAATGCTTGCTGCGGTGCTCTTGGGATGAACGAAGCTGGTGAGCATGGTTCGAAGATGCGAATTTCGGCATTGAAAATGCAGGAATTGAGTCGATTCTGGTGGAGCATGAAATTTTCATGCCTCCTCCACCTGCACCTCCCTATCCTGGGGTCCTCTCAGACCCGAAACTTCCCATCCTTGAGCCCCCGGCAAAGTCGATCAAGTGTCGTGAACATCGCGTCAGCGAGGACAAGTAACGTCTCTGTCATTAACCTGTGCAGATAGAACCCCCAACCAGGTGTGGATCCCATGAATTTTTGCATATTCGGGCTCAGTTGCAGTGACCCTGTTTGCATTCAGGACGTTGTGGTGACCCTTGCGTCGTCACCAGTCTCTCCTGTATGCACTGCATTTGAACGATGTGAGTGTGTTTGCTAGTGATGGTGTGTGCCAGGAAGAAAGAAAGAAAGAGTAAGCAGGAGATGTGATGAGTTCAGTTCTTTCAATTTGTTGCATTTGCGAAACTGTGTGGGCAGTTCTAGATGCTGGGTTAGATCCATAGTTGGAAGGTCAAGGACCTGCTTTGCTTTGTTGCTGTTCAGATAGTGCCCAGGAAACAGCTTTCAGATGCTTTGACTCAGACAGAGATCCTAAATTACAATATATATATATATATATATATATGTATGTATTAGAAACTTAAGTTATTAGTGTATGTGCATGTGTGTTTGTTTGTTGTGTTTGTATGTTTATAAACGTGTATGTGTATCTTTAGATTGTTTCTTCTTCATAATGTTGTAAAAATTTATTTTATTTTATTTCATCTTTCTAAATTAATGAAAAAAAAATAAATTAAATGACCAAAATTTTTGAATTTAAATGATATCTCACAAATTTCATAGTTACAAGATTTATGGAGACCATAAATCGACTGACCTAGTGGATAAATCGACAGACCTAGCTGCATACTCGACCTAGTAGATCAGCAAATTCAATGAACAATCTTTAAAATAAAAAATTTATCATAGATAAATTTATTGAAGCACTTATTTTTGTTACATATTTATTTCTCCATTTTTATCTTTACCACAAGATTTTCAAAAATTAAAATTAGAATACTTCTATTGCAGATTCGCTCTATGTGCAGCTCAATACCAAAGCTACACTACAAGACTTACTCCACAACAAAGAAGTCTTTTAGAAGGATACTACTTTGTTATTCCATTCACACACCCTACCATTGATGCTTGTAATATGCAAAACCGGCCAAAACTTCTACCACGCTTTCAGTGTTAAGTGCTCCTTTGCTTTAGCAACTTTATATTCAATTTTACTCTCTTTTCTGTTTCCTTTTCTATGTAAGCCAATACAAGGTTCTAACCACATGGTCCCTATTGTAGCTGGACAAACTCGTTTTCCAACATATTGTCTTCTTTCACAGCCATACTCCTCATTTTGTGATTGCGTCGTTTCTTTGGACAATGTTGAGCAGTGTGCTTTGGTTCTCCACAATATAAACATAATCCTTCTTAATGACGATGAGTCTTTTCTTGCTCAGTAAGAGGTTTGAAACGTACTGCATCATTTTGAATATCCTCTACTTCCGAATGTATGTGTTGAAGAGGTGTTGGTGTTGCCATTGAATTATAGTAACGTTGAGGTCCACTTGTACAGTTCTCAGATCGAAATTCAAAAAGGTGATTGTCGTACTTCACAGCAAAGTCAATTGCTTGACTCAATGTTTGAGGATCAGGTAAGTTGAGCATTAATTTTTTTACCTCATATTGTAATCCATAGAAAAATTGGTTAATAAGTGCAGCACCATTCCACTTGATATCAGTTGCAAGTTGTCAAAATTGTGAAGCGTACAACATTACTGATCGATTGCCTTGTTGTAAAATACAGATCTTATTGGTTGCAATACGAATTGCATCATGTTCTCCATACATGGATCGAAACTCCTCCAAAAAAGCCTCTAGATTATCCAATATTGGATCTCGTCGTTCAAGAAAAGATGAAAACCATAATAGTACTGAACTTGAAAGAAGCATACCAATGAATCTAACTTGCGATCTTGGAGTTGGATAGCTTTGGGATTGAAGTTCAATCACAAGTTACACTTGATTGATAAATCCTCGAAACTCAGATCTAGTACCATCAAACTTCTCGGGTAGGGGAATTCTTGGTTCTCTAACATTGGAAGGGCGTTCCACCATAGGAGAAAGAACATGGTTTGGTGTGGATGTTGAAGCAGCTCCAACCATTTCTATATCTTCACTTCTTGCCAATCTTGTTGATCCTTGTGGTGGTAAATTGAGTTGATGCATCGTAAGCATTAATTCTCTCAATTGCTCTTGCATTTGTGCCATTGCACTCTTCATTTCAACAAGTTTTGCCATGATAATATTTAAAAAAGAAAAGATGTCTAATATCACTAAAGACAAATAGAAGAGAGGACTTGAGAACAAAGAAAATACTAAGGACAATATCAGTTTAGAAGAGGGTAATCCGTAACTTCTAATATGCTTATATCTTATCAAGAAAAAGGGGTAATCCACTCTTAATCAAGATTAGACAAAGCTCATATATTGTAGGTATACTCTTGTCAATCTGTCAAGGACAAGAACTCGATGAAAAAGTAATTCAAACAAGTGAGCCTTCATTCAAAGAAAGGTAATAAAATATAAATAAACATGTATATTGAAAGAAAAACTGGAATGGCTATTGCCAAAAGACAAGAAAACTAGAGACCCTTGAAACTAAACTGGAAGCAAGAAAGGAGTTGACAAGAGTGAAGAAGACTTCACTCTTGTCTCTATATATACTATCTAACTAGGAGCTACGTGGCGATGTTCTATAGGACCTCCAATATGTATTGACTTTGTAGGACACATGCCTTGACTTACAAGGCAAGTTTTTCTACGTGTGGGCCACATAGTTAGTTTGATCTTCAAGCTAACAACATGTGTGGCATATGGCCAACTTGTTGACCACGTTTCTAATCCAAAAAGTCAATTAAAGACACCTATGAAGTCAAAGCAATATCTATGAAGCTTCTAAGAAGCTTCCATATCAAATACTATAGAATTAACTTACTTTTACCTACTTTTACTTATTTCCACCTATTTGTATATGTAATTACTAGCTTACATGAGTATGTCCGTGGCAAGATGCTATCAAGTCTAAGATATAAAGTACTAAGTTTATATATATAATATTTTTCCTTTTAGAGCAATTACATCAAAACATAAGCCCAAGTACCAAGAAAACACCCAAATGTATGATAAAGTATCTTAAAACTTTATATATCCTTATGAGAAATGTTTTCCAAACTTCAATAGCTCATATCTCATGATCGGACTGTCCAAACAACCTTAAATTTTTCATAAAACTCTGACATACATTCAAAAACTACCACAAAAAAATTCAATCACAAATTCATTATGGAACTTGAGATATCACTAAAATCCTAACAGTAGCTTTAAACCCTAGCTTACATACATCTGTGTGCTAATTTCTTCATATCTCACAAAATAAGTACTCAAATACCATGAAATTTTGATCTATAGCTTTTTAACTTAATAATTCACACTTATAAAAATTTTAAGCCAAAAATTAGTCCAAAAATTTAAGATATGGCTCCAACCATGACTATCAACAAAATGACTGACTTACTACCTTTGAATTATATGTATTGTCTTCAATGCCCAATAACTCCTTCATCTAGACTTAGAATTCATCCAATAGTATATGTAAAGTTTAGTTAAGAAAGTTTTTTGTCCAACTCTATTTTTCGATCTTTTATTGCTGACCCTAGCCTCCAAAGCTCGAATTACCTCGAAAGAGAAATCTTAATCCCTAATAAGGCCTCGGGCAGCCTCCCTCAAGCCCATTGGGCATGGCCTTCGACCAGTAGGAATGAAGATCTCCATTCCTTGCTTTCATCCCTCCCAATAAGCCTCCTAATAGTTTAGACTTTCATCTTTAGACTCCAACCTTCTCTTAAGCTTTATACTAAATATCTAAATCCTACATAATATAAATACTATAATCAAAATAAATAAATCTCCAAATAAATTTTCTTATATCAATTCTCTTTAAATTTATTTACTAACCACTCTAATCTACATCAAGACTTATAAACATATTATATGTCTTAATTAATTTTTACATACTATAAGCAATTACAGTATGACAATGGTTCAAGAAAAGACACGTGGAATACTAGATGGATTTTCATTGACTTCAATAGGTATAAATGATATGCAGCTGAATTGATTTGTGTAGAAATAGAAAATGGTCCAAGTCTACAATAGTCCAACTTGTCACAAGGATGAGTGATCTTGATATTACCATGAAGTAATCATACGTTATCACCTATGTAGAATGGTGGCTGTTCTTTTCGATAGACATCCACATTGATCTTTTATTGTTCTTGAGCTTCTTTTAATTGCGCCTTCATTGTTGTATGTAGCTCTAATAAATGATTTGCCAAATCTTCTGCCATATGATTATGAGCTTTTGAAAAGTCAAAAGTATCAAGTCATAGATGATAATCATAATTGGCAAAAAAAGGTGTTTGTTTTGTAGAAGAATATATTTTATTATTATAAGCAAACTCTGCCAATGGCAAAAGAGTTGTCCAATCATCTTGTTGGTAGTTGATGGTACATTTTAAATATTGCTCCAAAACTTGATTAACATACTCTATTTGTCCATTAGTTTGAGGATGGAATATCAAAGATAGTTTTATATCTATTTTTAGAATCTTGAAAAGAATTTGCCAAAATCTTGATACGAACTAAGTTTTCCTATCCAATATAATATCTTTGGATAATCTATGATAGCGATAGATGTTGTCAAGAAAGAGCTTAGCTATTTCTTTATCTGTGATAGATTTTATATATGGTACAAAATGTGCCATCTTGGTAAAACAATCTACTATTACAAATATAGAGTCATTAGAACCTAA